CCCCCACGCGCCACGCGTTCACAACAGACACGTCCACATCCATATCCACTCACTCATTCATTCATTAGCGAAGTGAACGCGGAACAAAAGCAAACGACGGACTGACACAACCTACAGAGGGACAAAGGACAACAGAAGGCACAACATGTACGATGCCAGCGAACAGCATGCGTGGAGCGTGCACATAGCGTGCACCACCGTGATGGATTGTACAAAGCAGGTTGGAGGTGAAGGATAAACGAATGAACAGAGCTGATGGAAGGCAATGCGGCATGACATGATGTAATGTAAACTCATGGCGACACGCAGAAAGGGAGAGAGACAAGAGGGAGAGAGACAAGAGGGAGAGAGAGAGAGAGAGAGAGAGAGAGAGAGAGAGAGACAGAGACAGAGACAGAGACAGAGACAGAGAGACAGAAACAGAGAGAGAGATAGAGACAGAGAGAGAGAGAGAGAGGAGGAGTTGGTGTTGTGGCGGTAGCTGGATGGTCAACGACTGTGGAAGCGGCTGCATGCTCAGCCAGACACACCCACATGAGCAAAGGTCCACTCCTGCAGTTGTGGTCGTGCGCGTGTGTGTTGGGGAGGGCATGAGCAGACGGAGTTGTGTAAGGGACTGGATTTGATGAAGGAAACGAGGGCCACACACAATCCACACCGCACGAGATGGAAGTGCGCACAACGTGCAAGGTGCAAACAAACACACACACACACACACTTGAGACAACCACTCATGCACAGCTTTCACTCCTTCTTACGCACACACATAACAACAACAACAATTTAAACAACAACAACAACAACAATTTAAACAACAACAACAACAACTGCAACAACAACTTCAACAACAACAACAACTCAAACAACAACAACTCAAACAACAACTTAAACAACAACAACAACAACAACTTAAACAACAACAACTTAAACAACAACAACTTAAACAACAACAACTTAAACAACAACAACTTAAACAACAACAACAACAACTCAAACAACAACTTAAACTTAAACAACAACAACAACAACAGCTACAACCTTGCGGAGGCGGTGGTAGAGGGTGGCTGCCCTGAACATTGAGATGTTGAGGATGGGAGCGCTCGCCTCGCCGTCCGAGTAGACCACAACTGTGCCGCGCCCAAAAATGCGCTGGAACACATTGCGACGCAGCGCCAGGTCCTATTTATAG